CTGGCAATCCTGCTGAGAGTAACCCAGAACACTCTAAGGAAAAATGAGTGGAACAAAAGATTTTCAGATATTGTCCCGCTTCAAGAGAACTACATGCTAAAATGCAGTTGCTATGTAGATTAGCAGTTTACTAAAGAGATAATAGCACATAAGGGAAAGAATGTAAATAGAAACAGAGCTTCTGGAAAAGAAAGGTTGCTTAAGTGGTTTCACCTTAGGCATAATCAGTCCAAAGTTCAAAGAGTCAGGTCAGGTTTGTCAGCAGGGGTGGGATTCTACCAGTTCGCACCTATTCGCTAGAACTGGTTGTTAACATTCTAAGCAGTTTGGAGAACCGGTTGTTAGAAGAAATTACTGGCCTAATCCTGTAAGGAAGGCAGGAAGGAAACATTCTGGTGTTGCTTACACAAACTGCCTCTCCGTTAACCCTTATTACATTCTTGGCAGGCCTAGACTTCCTGTCTCAGGAACGTCTCTGGAGTTTTTTCCCCCTCCTTTGCTGGCACTTTGCTTGTGTGGAGTGACCATTCAAAAAGTTACAATGGCACTGAAAAAAGTGACTGATGACCATTTTTCACACTTACAACTGTTGCAGCCTCCCCCACAGTCATGAGAGGCCAGGCGAGGAGATGCGTGTCTCGATGTGAGTGATGTTGAGTTGGCCATGCCCAGCCAATAACATGACCACCACGCCATGCCCACCAACTAAGCCACACCCACAGAACCGGTTGTTAAAATATTTGAATCCCAACCCTGTTTGTCAGCCAATTCAGTGGTCAGAGTTTTATAAGCAGAATGCACAAGATATGATGATGGAGATCTGACAGATGTTTACATCAAAGGAGCATTGATCTTTACTGCCTCTTAATCAGGCTGCAACCAGCTGCCTTCAGTTATGAAGGCTTCTCCCTCTATTTGGCAAAGACCACAGTGACTGTCACTGTTCTGCTCTCTACTCTACTTGCAGAGAGTAAGGCTATTAGGGCTTGGAATCCTTACATCATCCTCTGATTGTTACACCTGTTCAGATTGTCCCTACGTTTGATCAGCCACAGGTGATTCTTGGGTTCATGTCTCCTAAGGCTGACATTTTAACAAGTTTAGCTGGAGAACTTCATCATACCCTGAATCCTCAGCTATGATAAGCATGCTAGATAAAGATATTGATGTCTTATTTAAACTCAATTAATTTGTCCTGGACTAGATATTAGATGAATGAGTGAGGTAGTATCCTTTTGTTACAATGTAGAAGCTGTATAAGTGCATAGACATAGAGTCTTCATTTTCTGAATTCTTCTACCTTATCAGATGAAGCCTTGCTTTATAGATCTAGCTTGTCAGTAGAATTGAACAATTTACTTTCCATTTCTTTCTTTCCTATGTTATCCTGAAATTTATACAGCATATTTTCCTCACTACTTTTGCTGATACTCCTCTTTAGATAGATCCTTCCCTTTGTGTATATCAGTAAAACAACAATGTTTGAAGCAGATGAATCATATTTTTTTTCCATCCGGTTTGTTTTTCAGAATCAGGCCTAGACTTGATTTTTAGTTTCTGCTAGGAAAACTTCCAGCTGAAACAAGGTTAATTCAATATTTTTGTAAACTTTGTTTCTAAGGATGAGAATCACAACATATGGATTGTCAGGTATTACATGAAATGCTGTTAAGTGCAAGTTCATAATCTATCTTTTAGACAAACACTGTATACTTAGATTACTTTTTGAAAAAGTGTTACTTTTGCAGTTCAACAAGCAATAGTGAACCAAAAAAATGCCATTTGCCATTTTTGGTACATTTTGATGTATTTAATTGCCTATACCATTTTCACCTGTTTTACCTTAGTACAATATATTTTGAGTTGAATCCACATATTTATTTCACATGAAAAATATGGTCAAAAATAATTTTGTGATTCCATGAAAAGCTTTGTGAATGAAATGATTGTATGGAAAAGACATGAGAATTAGAACTCTCATCATTTTAGTCATGGAGTATTAAATTTGGATGGCCACTGATAGCTAGTTGCATGAAATAGAGTTTTGTATTAAATATGCTGTTTATAATGCTATTTAAATATGCTATTTTGCTGGTGGTTTATTATTTATAATAAATCAGCAGCAAAAAGTATAAATATTCTGTTATATCATTTGTTGTTTTACTAGAGACTGAATTATTAATCAGAATTAGGCATCACAGATAATTTCATATAATTATAAGTATTAAAAACATTTGTGCAAACTTTGAAAATTAAACTTCTATGAAAAGTACCAGATTACTGGTTCTGAAAATGGTTCAATTACAATTCCAGCCAAAACATGAACAGACTTCTTAAAAATAATCATTTAAGTAACACTTGCTGTAACTGCAACAGAAGACTGTTAACCATGATGAACAGTGAAATCTTTGCCAATTCAATCACAGACTGAAATGTTTAAGATGATCCATGAAGAGTATAACTTATGTTCACCCTATGGGTTATAGATAAGTTTTTAAGAAGCAGTACAAATCAATAATATTTTACAAGGTTCTCAAATGCCAGACAGCAATGAAAACATTGGCTCACAAATGTCCTAGCTCAAATATTAAAAGGTCATTTTCTGAAAAAGTTAAACTACAATTCTGTTTTGCTGGTTTCCAATATAGTACATCTTTATGTTAAGCATTACTGGGTTGGAAAGTATACATTAATGGTTCCAGAAAATCATTATTGCCTTATTTATTTATTAATTCTCAAAATTCTATTTTTGAGAAAATTTTCAGTTTCAAAATATTTTTTTAATAATGCATTAACTCTTGGCAATTTTCTATGAAAGAAAAAAGCACTACATTAAAGGCTTAAAACTGAAAGAAAGGAAAATGCTAAATTTCATTGCATCCACAAAATTAATAATTTTGCAATTTTATCCTTAATAATAAAATTCTTCCAGTAGTCATTCAAATATCACTGGTTTCAATCCATATTTTTAAAGCATATTTTCCTAAGAAAATAACAATACACAAAATAAATAATTAACTGTGATTATTTGTGTTTAATTGCCTTGAAATGCGTCGGATGTGAAGAAAAAATCACTTGGTATTAACATACTCAAACCTTCTTGAATAATGCAATAAATGGCTATTAATCACATATGATCTATTGTGGAACAGAAAAAATCCAAAAATATTACATATGTATTACATTTGTAATCACATGTAACTGGAAGCATCATTTTACGAAAGCTGATCTTTATTATCTCTCTCGTCTAACTTTCAATAATTCCCTGTATATTTCTTTTATCAGAATTTCATAGAGCAAAAATACAAATAAATAACATAAAAATCAGGCATTCAAAATATATCTAGCCCTATCTGGGCTTACAGTCTTTTCTAGTGTAACATCCAAGTTTCATCATGTCTTTATTTTGTAAAATATTGACACTATTCATAAGATGTACAAGGAATGAATAGAAATAAATTCAATCTGGAGGATCAAAGGGCTAGAAATTAAAAATGTGAACAGTCATAAAAAAGGGCAATGAAAATAAAATTTGTGTTGTATCTAAATAAAATAATTATGCATGTATAATTATTTTGTTTTAAATAATTATTAGTTGTTAAATTACTTGTACTGAGATCACTTGGACACAAAGGAAAACGGGAAAAAGATAAAAGGACCGAGACATAAATCAAAACCTTAAATGTCAGTGGACTTGAGTCTTAGAACAAAAGGATACTCTTTTGAATTCAAGAGAGTTTCATTCCAATTTACTTAATTATGAGCAATTTTAGGAAATCTGATCTTCTATTTTTTTTTCTCTAAGAGGAATTATAAGATTTCATCTCTGGCTACAAATGTACCTGATGTCCAATTTATCTTCTGTATATTAGAGACAAACAAGTATGATTTGCTAATTTTGTCATTTTGATTGTTTGATTATATATTTCAGCTAATCCATACAATTGTCATTTGACATTTTCTATAAATCTTACATTAACTGTCAGGTATATTATACAGTGGAAAGTAGAATTCTCTTACTAACAGCTTACTTACTATACTATGCTTTATTATGCTATGCTTTACAGCATAAATTTCCAAGATCAATAGTTTTTAAGTATAAAAATACTTTTGGAACATAATGCATCATGCATTAACAGTTAGAAGACATAATCCTAAATATTTATGGAATTTAACTTCCTTGAATTTAAATATGGATTGAATAAATATATAAATAATAATAATTACCATCATTTCCTGCTCATGAGAAAAGCGGGAAATTAGTCATTGAGGTTGTGTATTTCTCCTAACTTATGCAAGTTGGTTTGTTTAAATTATACCGAATCTCATTGGAAATATATGCCTTAAAAACATTGTACCATTTCACTCTAATTATATGGTAAACATATTCCTGAATTAACATTGAAAGTACACTTTCAAGAATATACTTTATTCTTCTTGAATTAAAATTTCATTGCAAAAAAGCTACAATTTGTTTTATTAATTGGTAATATTTAGGTGGAATTATTTTTTTATCTATCATCTGTTTATCTATCATCCACCGATTCCTCTCAGTGCATGGACATACCTAATATTCCAAACTCCTGTCTTTTTCATCATCACAACTATGGTGTCAGGTGGGGTAGGGTAAGAAAAAGCTAGTGATCCAAAGTCACCCAACTGGCTTTCATATTTAAAGGAGGCATAGAATGGTTTCAGGCAAGAATCTTAACCAGTACACCCAAATTGCTCTAAGTGTATTTCTGAAAGTCTACAATCCTGAAGAATAACTTGCTTGTATAATTTGATCATTACAGGTATAAAATATTGCAGACAGGAGATTTTTTTTTCTAAACATTTTGATTTCATATATCCAAATACCATTCATTTGCTGCATGGTTTGAACAAACAAAAATCATGTATCTTTAAATTATATATAGACACATGCTTTCTGTACAAATGTTTAAATTGCTATAGGATATAACTTATAACTTTATAAAAATGTTTTCTGTTTCATCTAGGTTTGGATTTATTCTTCACAAGGATGAGCCTATACTCCAGAAAATTGATCTCGAAACAATGTCATACATCAAGACAATTAGTTTAAAGGATTACAACTGTGTTCCAAAGACTCTGGCATATACACATCTTGGAGGATATTATTTTGTCAACTGTAAGCCTGACACCACTGGAGCCATTCTACCACAAATAATAGTAGATAGCGTTACTGACTCAGTTATTGGATATAATGGTGATGTAACAGGATCTCCATATATTTCTCCAGATGGTCACTACATAGTCAGCATTGATGATGTGAAAGGTCTAATGAGGGTCCAGACAATTACACTAAGAGGAGAAATACAAGATGCCTTTGACATTCACACAAACTTGCACATATCTGATGTGGCTTTCCAACCATCATTTACTGAAGCCCATCAATATAATGTCTTTGGTAGCTCTAGTACACAGACTGATGTTCTTTTTGTAGAACTATCTTCTGGGAAAGTGAAGATGGTGAAGAATCTTAAGGAACCTCTTAAACCAGATGAATGGCCTTGGAACAATAAGAACCGATTAATTGAGGGCAGTGGGCTCTTTGGTCAGTACCTGATGACACCTTCCAAGGAATCCTTGTTTATTCTAGATGGACGATTAAATAAGCTTAATTGTGAAATCACTGAAGTTGAGAGAGGAAACACAGTAATTTGGGTTGGAGAAGCATAAAGAACCATAGTACATAACACCCAAGTGGATATAGTTTTACAGTACATTGCACTTATCTTCATTCTCCAAATTGTCATTATTTTATATTAAAGATGTTAGACCCTTCTGTACATGTTGTGTGGTTGACTAAAATGGAATTTTGGTGAAATAAAAGATGCTGAAAACTATGAGAAATATGTACTGTTGGTAATCTCCATAGGGAAAGTGGACAATTTGTGACAATGTTATATTAAGATAAATACATAGGATAGATGTCAAAATGATGCCACATAACAGCAATAGCAGCAACAACAACAGTTAATCAGATTCATTGAATTTATAATATTGCACACAATGTGCATAGTTAGGTTTTTACATCAAAACACTATGCCCTGTCCTGACCACTATTTGATATTTTTGTGCCTTGAACAGAAATGTCTCATGAGGAAATTGAAGCCTACAAAACATGTAATTGTATTCTTGTAGTTATGAGTTCTCTTTATCTTGTGAAAAGTTTTTAATATCTCAAAATTTTTCATGTCCACAGATTTTAAGGCATGGTTTTAAGTCAAAGGAAAAAGTATATTTGCAACATTTTGTGCTATCATTTTTATTATTACAGCTTGAAGATATGATTATTTTTATTACAATTTAAGGTTACAATTTTGTTAACTTCATATTATAATTCTTACTTTTCCACCTACAAAACAGTTACATCAACATGGTATAGTTTAATTTTATTGAATAGAAACATAATATCTAGCTGCTTAGGAGAAAATGTTTATTTTAAAATCAATACTAAAGGGTTATTTAAATTGGCAAAAAAATAAATGTCTTAATTTTAAAACAATCTACTTAATAATACACTTTACACAGTAATATATGTCTATTCAGAAGTAAGTTCCACTGAATTCAAGATAATTCCTAAATAAGAAAAGAACTCCAGTCTTTAAAAATGGTACTATGATACTATGTCTACTGAAAAGTAAATCACATCAAGTTCAATCTTTCTTACTCCTAGTTGTGTATAATATTATATGTTTCAAGTTTCTCTCTAAAAGTACAGTACACTGAAATAAATTTTCATCATCTTGTTAGGTAGTATCACTGTTACATGTACAATGTCTATCATATACACCTTTTGTCAGTACTGTTGATAAAAGTGGTTTTTTAACTATTACTGCCATTAGCTTTCTATTTCAAGGTATTTGGGTTATTTTAGTTTATAAACTGCCACTTACTTAGGGATGTTGTTTGTATGTCTATATAGAAACAATTCAGGTTTTAAAATTTAGAATTATTGTAACCACTACAAAAGGAGAAAATAATCTTGCTCATTAGTATTTTTTTTCTTCAGATTTTCAAGAAATACATAGGGGATTGACTATTATTATCATTTTAAAAACTGGATTTCTGTACCTAAAATGATTAAACTGAAACTTTATTCAGTACAATCAAATACTGTATTTTTCTCTAACAGTTAGAAATCAGAAATTTCTATTTTCTTGTGTGTCATTAGTATCCTGGGCTATGAAACAGTAGACTTCTCTTTAGATTAAGGAAACTGGCAGATAGACTTAACTGAACAACAAAAATGACTTTAAATTTCTCACTTCCGAATCTTTTTAGCAATTTACCCCATTGTGATAATAATGGTAATTACTACAAAATAAAAGACTCTGTGAACAGCCTGTTATTCTATGATTTACTAGTTCATCTCTTCTACATTTTTCTGATCTATCCTACATATGTGAGTGTTCTGTATGTAGAAAATGCTTGATGAAAGGAAAATAAACGTCTTACATTTTAAAAATTGTTGTTTCAGTTGATATATCAACAAAGAGAAGGTTAGATTGTTCTCAGCATAGGTTTTTAATAAAGCAGTCAAGAATGTTACCCTTTTTTCCCCAATGGCATCTATGTAGCAAAAGTAATATAGCAAAAACCTCTCTATATTGGAATAGGAATATATTTCAGGTTAATAATCTAATTTATTAATTCGAGCAAAAACTATGTCAATGATATTTTGAAGGATAAATTGCTCACATATATATTATTAAGTATTAATATATAAATCCACTGTTAGTTGTAAAATAGTGTTTACCATACTTAGTAGCTATATAATTATACAGACAAAAATGAGATAGAAAAAAAAGAGAAATATCTCCTTCTAAGTGAGCACTATTTATTATCTCACAATGAATTAAAGCAAAACTCTAATATTGTCCCAGAAGTAGCATTATTGAAATTCTTTTATACTGCTATGTATCAGAGTTGCTCTAATTATAAAGAAGTCTTTAAATATATAACACTACAGAGTTGTTTTGGAAAGGGAGATGGGTAGCAAATAAATTTAACCAAGTAATAAATACTTTATTGTAGGAAAAACATAGCCATTTCACTATGAGCCTCGCTGGCACAGTGGTTAGAGTGCAGTACTGCAAGCTACTTCTGCTGACTGCAATTTGGCAGGTCAAATCTCACCAGGCTCAAGGTTGACTCAGCCTTCCATCCTTCCAAGGTGGGTAAAATGAGGACCCAAATTGTTGTCAGCAATATGCTAACTCTGTAAAACACTTAGAGAGGGCTGTGAAGCACTGTAAAGCTGTAAGTTCAGATGAAAAAAATCCAGATAAATAAAACTCGAAAAAGCTGTTTGTTAACAGTTAATGCTTTGCCCTGTGTTTTTTCAAGGAGCAAGTATTTGGCTTGACATGTTCAACTCCATAATTTTACCAATTAGTAATAATATTTGTGAAGATTTTTTTTATTGAAAATGTAAGTTATTTGTGCAAAATAATTGCAAAAATGGGGAAATGATTTTTAGGTTATATGCACAAAAACATAGTTTTTAAATCATAAGACGCCTTCTATTTCATGTTGTCAAAGTCCCAGAAGTGTTTTGCCCAGTTCTTGGAGTTTAAAAAGTAAATTCACAGAGAGTCACTGATGAAAATCAGAGGGCAATAAATCAGGGGTCCCCAACCGCCGGTCCGCGGACCGGTACCGGGCCGCGGAACAAGCCTTACCGGGCCGCTGGTTGCTGGGCGCCGCCATCTTTTTTTGGTAAAAAAAGCAATTTTTCGTCAAAAAAGATGGCGCCAGCGCTTCGGGTGAGCTTTTCCGGGTAGAAAGCCATTTCTACCCGAAAAAGCTCACCAGAAGCGCTGGCGCCGGCAATTTTTTGTGGCGAAAAACCACTTCCGGTGACGTCACCGGAAGTGATTTTTCGTCAAAAAAAGATGGCGGCGCCCAGCTGACGCCGGAACCGGGCCGCGGCGCCCAGCTGATGCCGGAACCGGGCCGCGGCGTCGAAAAGGTTGGGGATCCCTGCAATAAATTATAACCTAGAAGGAGAGATGAAAGGTATTAGAAATGTTTAGAGAGGAATGAAGAGAAATTATAATGGCATTCTGAGATATTTGTAAGGACATCGCATGGTAGCTAACCTTTTTGGGCTCCTTTGCCAAAAATTGTGCGCATGCTTGCATGCTCGCACTCATTTTCCAGCACCCAGAAGGCAATGTGCACCCCCCATGGTCCCTACACATGAGCATGCAATCCCCATCCACCCCCCCACCCTCTTACCTGCACTGCACCTCAGGGCTGATTTTCGGCCAATTTGAGGCCTTTTTCAGCTTCCCAGAGGCTTGAAGAAGGCTTCTGCAGGCCAAAAACTAGGCCCATTTCGTCACTTCTGGTATTTTCGGAAAAACAGGAAGTGACCAAACAGGGCTAGTTTTCAGCCTGCAAAGCCTGCAGAAGCCTTCCTCAAGCCTTTAGGAGGCCGAAAAAGGCCTCAAACTGGCCGAAAATCAACTGTGACGCATGCGCGCATGCCCAGTAAGGTAAATTTGCCTGCAGCTCATGTGCTGGCACAAATGGCTCTGCATGCCACCTGTGGCATGTGTGCCATAGGTTCACCATCAAAGGCATAGAAGTTCAAGTTCTATCATTACAAAGAAATTGAAACAGAATGCTTGATTTTCAGTACAGGAAGGTGAATCTAAACTTAATGCTCTAAATAAGGCTTCCTAACAGTAACAGAAGTTTGAAATGGAACCAATTCTCCAGAGAAATGGTAGGTTTCCCATCCCAAAGTGTAATGTTTATATTCATCACCTATATTGATATATTCACAAAGTCATCTGATTGAAATCTGTTCTAGTGGAATCTTATTTAGTCTGAATATTTGAGATTTTTATGAACAAAATGTCCAAAAATATGCCACAGTAACCTGAGCTTTATTCATTCACAACAGGGAACAGATCTCCATCAACAGATCTGCCAAATGAGATTCTAACAATGCAATTTGGGCAGAGAAGTACAGATAACTTCACTGATCTTCTTGCTATAGTATAAACCTGACCATGAGAATGTGCCCATATTCATTTATAGTCATTTCTTATTTTCCACTGTAGGTGCTCTAGATGTTGCTCACTCTGTTTCACCTCTTGGGGTTTCCCAGTAAGCTTGTCCCCACTCCAGGATGGGTAAAGAGGAAAGCCCTCTGGGAAATGATCTCATTCAATATCCTCACTGTCTTCATTTTAGGATTTAGAAAGGCAAATGGAGCAACCAATAAAGTTGCTCAGATAGTATGGTTTTGATGTTTTAATGTGCCTAAAGGAACTTTTACATATTATCTAAGTCTCCTTTTAACCAATAAACTCTCAGGAAATGGATAGTCCTGCCCTTTACTGTTTTTTTCCAATTATAATCATTTTGGTGGTGTGAGGAGAGTAACCACTTTGATCTGGGAGATTGTAAATCAAACTGGTGGCCCACAAGCTGGATGCATCACGCATAGGCCACGCCTACCCTGGCTCCACAAAGGTAAAAACCGTGAAAAAAAAATCACATGACACCATGTGATGAGATTGAGTTTGAAACCCATGTTGTAAATGGACTCTTTGAAAGAAAAAACTGCACATGCTGCTTTTGAGAAGAACAAAATGTCTTCAGTAATTATACTTCAAACTATTAACATTTACATAATACGTACTTGCTTGCAAGATCGA